AAAACAAACTCAGATCGTAAGTATACAGCTCAATTTTTTATGTATGTTAATGCCCCTGTAATCACCACTCAGATTAAGTTCACTTTCCTATCATTTTATTTTAGAAATTTTCAAACCTATTGAAAAGTTGCAAGAATACTCTTCACCTCTCGAAAAGTTAATATCTTGCTGTTTCCCTAATATCTCTGTGTAAATACAACATGTAGTTGACGTTAAAGCATTTGAAAGTTAGTTGCCAACATTGTGAAATTCACCCCCATTTATTTCAGGCTGTATTGACCTAAGAACAAGGATATTCTTCTCCATAACTGAAAAACAGTTCTCATATTCAAGAAATGTATTTGTTAATACATAGTCCATATTTAAATATCTCAAAATTTTCTAAAGATGTCTTTTAGTCCAGTTTTAAAATCCAAAATCCAATCAGGGATTATGCATTGCATGTAGTTATCCTAATTCTTTACTTTGTTATAATCCTGTTTGAAAATCTTCCACGAGGCATTCTGGACTGGCACTGCTCTGGCGGGGCGCAGATTGCGGGCTTCTGTGCAGGAGCTGATGAGAACTGTGGGTGGGTTCTGCATTTCCCATTCGGATCCCAGAAATGATGAGTACTGCCAGGGAGTCCCGTCCACACAGGGGTGACGTATCCAGCCTCCCCAGAAGATCTTGGATCTAGGAATTGGGAGGCAGCAGATTGAGAAGACAAGGAAATTAAGAACTGGGTCTCAATATCATGACAGTATGGATAGTAAATTATCCGGAAGGTATGGATGACATTGCAGTCTTGCTTCAGCAAGGTAGATCGATGACAGAGAGAATGGTACCGCCAGAGACGAGGAGAAGGAGGACAGTAATGGCTCACCTGCCCCTGAAAGTCCTCAAGACTCTGAAAGTGACTCACAATTAGAGAACTTGCTGGAGAACTCCAAGCTCCTGAGCGCACGGGGGAATCAAAGAATCCCCATGTTTATTCTTTTCTGTACATATGTGTGTATACATATATATTTTAGAATATAGAAATATAATCGTGATTTTTCCCATGGAGTTGAAATTGTCTGTTTGCTTGTCACCCTCCCCAGCTACATAAATTCCCTGAGGATAGACTATAGCCCCTTTACCACTGTACCCAGCTAGTGTTTGGCACAGAACATATGCTCCTTAAATTACTAGGGTAGCAGTCATTCACACCATCTGAACACATTTATATCTTGATTTTTTCCGTTATTGCATAAACACTCTTTACAGAGTAAAGGACTTTGAGAGGAGGGAATGAAATATACAAAGTGCTATTTGCCACTGAGGAGGAATAGATGGAAGGACGGAATGTGGGCAGAGCCCTAGTTCCAATGAGAAGTGCTAAGTTCCTACAAGGGAGGGAACTGGCAAATACTGCAGTCTTGCCTTGAAAAACTGCTGGTGCAACTAGCTGGTTAGGAGGGGAAGGGAGTGGGTCTTGGAGGTCAGCCAAAGCTAGAAAATCTGGGAAAGTTTTGCTCAGCCACATGGGTAAAAACAGAGACCCCTGACCCTAAAAACGGTCCAGAAATAGGGCTTAACAGGGCTTCAGTGCCTGCAGCACCAACTTAGGTATGATCCTGAACCGCCTTTCAGTCTCAGGTCATGCGAAGTATTTCCCTGTTTCCTCCCATTTCAGTTCCCTCAAACAAAATATGGACTATAAAATCCACCTCAACATGGCTGTGGGAATTAAATGAGAAAACACTGTAAAAAAAATGGAAAATATTGTAAAGCATCTGATGGTCAGGTCATAGTAGGAACTCAAACACCACTAGTCTTCTCACTCTGTTTCCCAAGAAAGGTAAGGAAAGGCAACGAGATGATGTCATCCCAGAAAACCGAGGCAGACTTTACCAAGGAGGAATAAAAGCTAATGTGAGTAAATGTAAATCACGCTACATGGCTGAAAAAGAAACTACAGTTTTGATACTGTCAAATGTCTATCCTGTCCAAATTCATTTGGAGTTGTAAAACAATTCCAGTCAAAATCTCATTTAGGATTTCTTGAAAAACTGGAAAAAATAGATTCTAAAGATCATGGGAAGGAAGAAATAAGCCTCACAGTAAGAAACGTGGCCAAAAAGAAAAGAACAAAGAGGAGAGTTTCCACTGCCAAATGTTACCACTTCTAAGGCAATTACGTGGTGTTGAGCATAGCCAGGCTTTTAAAAGGAACAAGACGTACTTGAAACAGATTCTTGCAAATATGATTTTAACTATTATAAGGAAGATATCCCAAATCAATGGAGGGAGGGGTGGGTTAATAAATAAAAGGTGGAAGATAATTGTTTAGCTCTTTAGAAAAAAACAATTGAGATCTCTATTGCACATCCCACAACAGAATAAACCTCAGATAGATTCAAAGTGCTATTTCAGAAAATAAAACAAATGAATTTGTCTCTAGATGAGGAAGTACTTTCCAATCTTAAAAACAACTGAAATAATCACCATGAAAATCACAATAGATGTGACTACATTGAAACATAATAATAATGAAGATTATTCTGACAAGATAGAAGTAACAAGGGCTGCTGGTCCTCGCACCCACCCAAACCCAGAGTCTTAAGTAGGAGGGAGGGTGGTGGACCTGTCACACTGACATCAGAATATAGAGGCATTCCTGGAAAATGGATGATAGAGTTCTGGTGTGTTTGGAGTAGAGGTGGTAGGAGGTGGTAGAAGGCAGCCCAGAGTGGCAGAGAATCATGAACTGCAAATGGAGAGAGCTTTTAGGTGTCCAGCACACTCTCCCTGACCACCGCTTTGGGCAGTCCACTGCTTGACCATGTTACTGCTGTGTAAGGGCAGAAGACAGCAGCCAACTGAATGCTGATAGTGTGGGCTGTCAGCTTTCAGCACAGGGGCAGACAGACTGGCTGGATCCTGGTTTAACTCCATCACCTCAAAACCTGAAAGGCAAAGTGATTCTAAGTGGGGAACAGAGCTCCCCAAAGGGAGCTGCCCTACTCTGAACAACTTTAATATCAGAAAAATCTCTGCTGTGCATGTCAGACCCTCCTCCCATCACAAACCCGATTCATCAGGAGGGGCACATGCCAGGACTGGAATGTTCTCCCTTCCTTGTGAGTCCACCAGCCAGGGAGGCAAATATCTCCAGGGCAGTATGAGCTCAAGGAGGAAAGTTTAGGCAATTTAAAAAGAAACTATAATATAAGATAAAGCCTACAATAGACAAGGCAGATTGGTGGGCCAAGGAGTTAAAATCAATATACTAAATACCCTTAAAAAGATAAAGGAGGACTCATGAAAATAAGAGGAAAAACAGTAAGTCATCAAGGACGTTTTGCTTCTAGTAATGTCAAACTAGCTTGTTCCAGACCAATCCTCCTGCCAATAACAAATAGAAGAGCCATTAAAAATATAAAATAAGTGAAGATATCAGAGAGCTACCAAAGCATCAAGTTATCCACGAGCTTTTGCAGTTAGTTAACACTATGTAAATAATCATCCCACAACTTTAAAACAATAAGCATTATATTATACAAACATTTTAAAGCATTTTATTGTGGCTCACAAGTCTCTGGGTCAGCTGGATAGTTCTCCTGAACCAAACCAAGCTCAGATGCTGTGTCCGCAGTCAGCAGGTGGGTTGGCTGGTGGTTGGCTGGCCTCAGATGGGCCCAGATGAGCAGACAGCTCCTCTCTGCAACATGGAGTCTTGCAAATTCCAGTAAAGTAGCTTATGTTGTTCTCATAGCAATTCTAGGGGCAAAGGTCTGAGACAGAACTGGAGTGTGTAAGCCTCTGAAGGTCTAGTTCCTGAAATGATGCAACATTACTTCTTCTGTCTTCTAATGACCAAAGAAAGCTCTAAGACCACCCAAGATCCCAGGGCCAGGGAAGCGGACTCTACCTCTTGATGGGAGGAGTTGAAAACCACACTACAAAGGTTGTGGATGAAGAATTTAGAGCTATTTTTTGCAGTCAGTCTGCCGCAGGAGTCAAGATCCCCAGTGAAGAGAAAACCAGTGAAGTAAGCCCAACATTTGGTGGTATTTGCATCTTCAAGGTATTTGCCAATTCAAAAGAAGCTGCTGAGTGGAAGGGAGGCTCATTACAGCTTTCAGGAGCCTGCTGGGTCCGGGAAAACAGAATTGGAGTTCAAAGGCATCCTGAAACCAGCCTGGGCATTAAGTCAGGACTCCTGAGGGACTGTACTCTAGGAAGAAGGATAAACATGTATCAACCTTCCCAAGGCTACAGTCCAATCAAATCCACTTAAACCCTAGTTGGATTAAGGTGGTGCAAAGTGCCATCTTCGGACTCCTGAAGATCTTTTAAGGGGTCAGGGAGGTCAAACCTATTTTCATAAATAATGAGATGTAATTTGCCTTTTTTTAAAAAGAATATTAACATCTGCACTGATGGTGTAAAAGCAATGGGCTATGCAGATGGACAGTGACTGTAATGGGGTATGTGAGGGGGACTTGATAATAGGGGGAGTCTAGT